GGCCAGGCTTGGTTTCAAATTATTGAGAGAGTTCAGCTGGTGTCTTGGCTTTCCATGCCTTTTTACACCTCCCTTTCTTCATGTGATCAAAACTTTTCCCTGTGCCATTCCACATTATTTCAAATAACTTCATTTCTGGACATTTATTGTTTGATTTCTTTGTATGTATGGATCACTTGGGTTTTTACCGACATCTGGTGAAAATTTCATGTCATTAGCACCTCTAGTAATATATTTACTGAGAAAAATGGTGACGTGTTCAATACTTATTTTACCCGCTGTAAATCCCAAAAGTCTACTTCCTCATCTTCAGTTGTGATTGTTTGCTATCTAGAAAACTTTCTATAATGTACATTTTTAGTTTGTCAGAGTTTTCACACCTCCTTTATGTGACACAGGATTTTTTTCAAGGCCTTCTATAAACAAGTGGTTAAACAGCCCCATACATTAGTTTCACACAAATAAATACAAACATATCAATTAGCTGACAGTAAAGTTTTCATTTCTTGTAAATTTCCTTATTCTCATTAAAATTATTTCTCCTGAGCTAACATACACACACATCAGTTTTTTAAAATCTTTTTACTCTTCTCTTCTTATGCTTCTTTGTTTGGGGAGGCGGTTGATTTCAGTGTGGAGGAGACACCCCAATGTTTTTTTTTGCCACTTCAGTAGAAAGCAGAACTGAATGTCTGAATATTAGTATCCTAGCTTCTTCATCATCAGCGGCTTTTTTTTTTCATGGGAGAAAAAGAAAGAGAAAGAAAAAAGTGAAATGTAATGAGAAAGAGTGAAAGAGAGATTAGAAGATATGTGAAATATATGTTGAGAAAACACAAGACAGCACACCCGACACCCCAATGAACTCGGTTTCTGGAGAGCTTCCATTCGTCGCCTGGAGACTGAGCAGACCCTGACATGTTGATTTGAAGAGGTCAGGCTGAAAGATGGTGGTCGTGTTGACAAGAATGGGCTTGACTCCAACCCACAGGGAGACCGGAGCAGTGTTAACGCCCCGAAGACAGCAGCAGGAGGTGTGTTGATCCTCTCAGAGACACTGGTGGCATCAGGCAAAACAAAAGAAAGGAACGCGGTGGCTCAGGCTTACAGCAGCAGTGACTTTGTTTTAAAGTGAATTAACATGAAAATGAACAAACTGACATCCTGATGATAACTTTATTAAGACTTTACACAAAGGGGATCAAACAATGGTTGTGTTGATGTGTTTTAAAGGACGTCTTTACTGTCTGATTGATAAAAAAAGACCATTGCTGATTTGCCCATGACTTTTTCAGTCCAGAACACCCCTGCCTGCTCAGATGTCGGACAGAAGAGTGCCATCTCCAGGTATTGACATCACTTTAAAGAGCTATTGGTGCATGTTTTTTTTAAATCTAGAAAATGTTAGAACGTCATGCAGTCGGTACGACAAAATGGCTCAAATTAATCTCTTTGTATCACTAATGATGTGATGCTCTCAGAGAAAACCAGAGCCCATTGGTGGCGGTTAGTTTACTGAATAGTTGATATGTTTGTGTTTGATAAATAGAAGCTCGAGTAGCAAATAAACAAGGAACATAAGCCTTTTATAGTTAATGATCTTTTACTTAAAAAAACAAAAAAGAAAAAAATTGTATAGGTCTTCTGGACGGATTCTTCTCTAATGAAACGTTTCGTCTCTCCTCCAAGAGACTTCTTCAGTCTGAGAGTTTCAGGCAAAATTCAGGCTTTTAAGCCCTGCCTCCATGTGACTGATACTCACATCACGTCTAATGGCCAGAACTCTGCAGTTTTCACTCATTTACAGGCCAGCGGTCACTCTTTCAGAGATGAGGATGTTCTCATTCTTGATAGAGAGGAACGTTGGTTTGAGAGAGGAGTAAAAGAAGCCATTTTTGTGAAGAAAGACCGTCCATCATTAAACAGAGGTGGAGGCCTCCGTTTTCAGCTGTCCCCCTCCTACAGCACGGCTATTGCCAGTATCACTCCACCCCCTGTTAACAATAAGTGTTAATTAGGTGTCAATGATAGCCATGTGATGTGAGTATCAGTCACATGGAGGCAGGACTTAAAAGCCTGAATTTTGCCTGAAACTCTCAGACTGAAGAAGTCTCTTGGAGGAGAGACGAAACGTTTCATTAGAGAAGAACCCGTCCAGAAGACCTACACAATTTTTTTCTTTTTGATTTTTTACCTGGATTACTGAGATGCATCAGGAGATCTTTTACTTAAAGTGATCCTAATCTTGTTGGTGCACTGACATTAAAAAAAACATCACAATTATTTTAAATAAATCACTTATTTTAAGTATTATTAGGGTGTAGAACAGAGTTTTAAGAGGATATGATGCTCATTTCAGTCTAACTTACAGATTTCACAGAGGAGTCAAGTGACCACTCTCCTGAGGCCACAGGAAAGAAAGAATCTGTCAGAAAGAGTCCTGAAAACTGGAAGGAAGATGTGCCATTCAGGTGTGAGTAGACCAGCTTCTTGTCATTATGACCTTTTTGTTTGTTTTATGACTTAAGAAATAATACATTAATTTTTGTAATCAGCTCTCACAAATAGGTCATTTCATCTTTGCTGTCTGTGGTCAGGTTGTCATATTGAAGCATTACTTTCAGATTCTAATCAAAGCTGTTTAAACTTGTTACGCTTGGGAAATTATGCTTTTAAAAGGGGGTATTGTGTAATATCCAGGCACATAGTTCAATTCTTTACCACTATCAAGTAATTATGTTACCTTCAGTTGTTATGTAAATGCTGTATATTTCAAAAATAAACTTGACTTTACATCATAGTCTATGGAAACACCTTGAAACTGGCCTCTGTCTCTTTAAGAACCTCCTACTGTTTCCAACACTTCCATTTCAGTACGTCRTTACCACAGTTCTTCAGCGAAGGAGAACTTTTAGTCAGCTCCACATGGCTACAGGAGATTCAAGGATTTCTCAAGCATACAGGAATGAGTCAAAGTAACACTCTGTGTATGGTTTTGATGAGGGAATGATAATATAACATGATATAAAGCTCARAAAAGCATAATACCTCCCCTTTACTGAAAAAAGCAAAGCATTTCAACAAACACTCACTACTTTTGTTTTGTCACAGTGTTCCTACCTTTATGTCAGTGTAGCTTATAATTGTTGATACAATTGTATTTATGTGTATGTTTTATAGGATCTTTTATTGATTGTATTAGTTTTTTGTGAATAGCAGCAGGACTCTTTTGCCAGATTAACGTGCACATTAAGGAAATAAAATCAAACCATTGCATTTTTTTTTAACACCTTTATCCTATTTTGAAACGAATCTCTCTCTCTCTCTCTCTCTCTCTCTCTCTCTCTCTCTCTCATTCCAGCCTTGCCCCCCATCCCAACCACTGACCACCCCAGACGTAGAAAAAGCTCAAAACACCTCACCCACTCCTCTCCAGATCCCAGCAAAATATACAGTGAGGTGCAGAAGAGCAAAACCAGGAAGGGCGATGAGCAAAAGATGCTGGAAAAGAGACTGGAGCACCTGGAGCGGGAGATCAGTCAGGGCCGAGCCTCCGCAATCCAAAGCTCCTCCGCAGGTAAAGAAGCAGCATCTGATGGTGTGAGAAGAAGAAGCTGAAAGGATGTAGTTCTGGTCTTTCCAGCATTAAAATAAAAATTCTTATTTAACGTTTTGAAAAGTCTTTCAAACCTCGTGTGCTGTGACTGCAGGCAGCCAGACAGAGCTGCAGACTCTGAGACAACAAGCCCAGGAGCTGGTGGATGAGAACGACGCTCTGAAGTTGACAGTTCATCGTCTGAACGTGGAGCTGAGCCACCACGAAACACGTTACGCATTATCCAAAGAGCAGGTATGAAAAATCACCACAGAGAAAGACATGCAACAAACTCATCAAATTCAGTCCAAATCACAACTATTTATAAATAAAACGATTTCCTGTCCGGCTGAGGAGATTAGATCATAGCTGTCTAACCACCTCCTGCCAGGGCCTCGCACTACAAACCTTCTGCTAATGAATCCACCTGCTTGACTTCATTAATTCACCACTAGTCAAACAGCAAATCCATCATCTTCGGTGTAGTATAAAGTTGAAGCCATCATTTCATGTTTCCCAGGCTTTGTCATCAAGCTTTAAGAATAGATGGCTTTGATGGACAGACCTGCTGAGCAAAAACAACGAGCTTTCCCTTTCTCCCTTCTTCCATTTGATTTGTTGAAGCAAACRAGTTCCCCGCCGCTGTCTGCGGCCCGCCCGCTCCACTCTGTCCAAGCTGTTGCTTATTTTTTTTCCACAGATAAAAGCCAACCTGCGCTTTTAATCATGGCCGCCTCACGCTGTTTTGTTCACATCGGGAGGTTCGTGGCTCTCATCGCTGGCAGTTTGCTTCCTCTGTAGCAGCACGTCGTTAGGGGCGGCTGAGGCGGAAGGAACAGTTGAAGGAAAAATCATTTTTCATAAGAAGTTTGGGGTTGAATAATACACTAAAAAAGATAAGGTAAATTTAACAATGGGTTCAGAAAAGGTAATCTACATGCTGTATGTGTTTATTCTAAGGTTTGGTTCTGTTATTTATTTATTTATTTATTTTCATTTAAGCAGGGATGTATTTTGTTTTGCATTTATATACTTACCTTCTGTATGTGGAGCATTATATTTAGTGTTGATAGTTAAATAGTTTTTATTTTAATTTCGTATTTTGTTCATACCTCATGTAAGAGTTCCAAAATCAGTGGTTTAGCAAAGACAGGTCCTCCTCCTCCTCCAGGGTCGGTCAGTATCTAAATATATCCCAGTTTAACTTTAGTGCTCTCTGACTGGAAGATGTCTGAATATTTGGACAAATACTGTTTATCACACTGTAAAAAAAATCTAACTTTTTTTTGGGATGAAAAACAATTTTCAGTTGAAAAAAACTTGAAAAAATAAGTGTGACGTATTGGGGACAATAATTTAGGTCAGTGCAAAAAAAAAACCAAGGCAGTTGTAATCTTAAACATTATTTTGTGAGTTGTATATCTCTAAGTTGTAGGTGATTGCAACAGATGAAAGTGCTGCTAACTTACATTCTTTTGTTGTGAAATGCAGGAAAGAACTTTTGGAGTTGTCTTTTGAGTTCAGTGAACTACTCAGACACAGAGCTCACAAAGATAACTTTTGCTCTTATACTTCTGGTTTGTATTTATCCAGTCCAATCTTTTAGTGTTAATAATGTTTTAAAAAAAATAAAAACATGGGCAGAAACACGAGTTGAAAGTATTTGTTTCTCTCTTCCTGCTTCTTCCTCCTATCAGCTCAGACAGCAGTTCTGGCTCCTCCTCTTTGATGCTGAAATGTATAATTTTCTGAAAACTCACCTCTGAAAAAGACAACCACTTTAATTTTTGATCCATAAACCGTTTTGAGTTGTGTTCTCTTATGCTGCCACATTCAGGCTTGATTTGACATGTGTGTTAAGGTTTACTGACTAGCTGACCCCATGAGTGAGAGGTCTGTGTCACAGAATGACCACTCCTGATGGCCTAGTAAGATGTTGTGTATATTGACACATGGTGATGCTAAAGTAGTCAATATTAGAAGATTACTAACCATTAAATATTTATGTGAAGAAATAATTTTTTGATGTAAAGTCAAATTTTAAATTACTGTAACTCTGTTACTGTAAAATTTAAGATTCAAAGTTGTACAACATAAAGATTTAAGTTACAACTTTTGGTTAAGTTACAAAAACGTGGAAATCAAAGTTTGGCAAACTCAAAAGCAAAACTTAAATAGATAAGATGAAGTCCAAAACTTAAAAATGCCCTGAAGTTTCTTGCTTTACAGTTTTGAGTTTTGCCAACTTTTCTTTTATTTTTTTTAGTGCGGTTGCTAGAATTTGAAACTTTTATTGTTTAAAACTGTAAAATGTTTAAGTTTAGAATCTGATTGACTGCTGAGCAGATCAAGTAAATGAATCCTTTTCAGCCTTGAGGATAAAAATTTTTTTTTTCTAAGTGAAAATGCTCATGGTATCAACTTTTTTTGGGTAATTTGTTAAATTGTTATCCTTGATTGTAGCTCGATGTGATGATTTTTTGCCCTTTGCTGCAGGTGCATGAAGACAGGATGGATGAAAAGGATGCACTTCTGCAAACCGCTGAGGTGAAGATTTTTACTTTGTTTGTTTTTAGAAATTGTTCTCTTTTATTCAAAYGTATTTCATATCTCCAAAGAAACTAAAGCAGCTTCAAAAGCTGCAACATATTTGGTAGAAATCACAGCTGAAAGTAAAGAAAACAGAGAGCTGGGGAGGAGACAGATTCCTAAAACAGATCCAGGTTGGAAAGAAGAGAGCTGGCAGGGAGCAGAGCGATGTGGGGTGGTGGCGATGGGGTAACAGAGCCAAAGCGTCCGACGTGTGAAAAGATAAACTGGAGCAACGGTGCAAAACTGTGATGAAGTGATGGCATTGTTTTATTACTAAGGAAAAACCTGTGCTGACACACAGAAATTGTGTATTTAGTTTGTTAAACACAAAGAGGATTCCTAAATTGAGTTAATTCATCATGTTTTGAAAACAAGACGAGGGAGACTGTCACACATTTAATGTTCTGGACAGGTCCAGTTCCATCAGTGATTTACAGCGGGTAAAATAAGTGTTGAACATGTCACCATTTTTCTCAGTAAATATATTACTAGAGGTGCTAATGACATGAAATTTTCACCAG